ATTGTCCGAGTCAGGGTCCTTTTTATTTTACTGTAACTTTGGAAGTTGTGTTACCAATGCTTACTGTTTATTTGATACCCATTTGGTAATGCAATTAATAAAAACAACAAGGTTTGGGTTCGATCTTCAGATGACTGTGACGTTAACGTGTAAGCTCAATAATGAACTCCAGCTCAACCAACCATATTGTAATATCTAAGTAATCATCTTGAAATATGACATTATTATTTGTAATATACACACATCTTATTGTGAGGTTGATTTCACATACACTACTTCAACATTAGCTTGTCTACATACTTGAGCATAGCCAATTTAAATTAACCTTAGCGATGCATACAGTTCCTACCTACATAATAAAATATCTCTCTAAGTTACAAGGATGACCTTATTTTATCAACCTCAAACAGAAGCCGTTTGTTGTACAGTATTATCCCACTTAACGCTTAACACTTGACTATTTTGTTTTAACCTTTATATATATAGTGATGTCGATTTTAACTTGGAGGCTACTATTAGCATCGTTAGCACCGATGTAGCTACCACTCGCTTACACGCTAACCCAAGCCTTAACATTCATTACGTAGCTGATTAAAATAATTAAGACATAAATAAAGTACTCGAATTTCACTTACCGCAAAACCGCATTCATGCACCGTCTGTTTTAACCGCAGAGCGAGTCACAATAGTCCGATATATAAGCATGAAGAACAAACAACCACGGCCGCTTCAAGTTGTGTTCCCTGGATGAACTGACCAGGCAGAGTCCCTGTAGCTTCACGGAGCTGCTAGCAGAGAGACAAGAAGCTAGCAGCAGCAGTCACTTGACAGAGCTGTCACTCAATGTGACCACGGCCTAATATATGCATAACTTTAAGGCTTAATATGAATTAAACAGATGAGTTGAGAACAAATTCACCCCCCCCAATCCATATTCATAAAGGGGGGATCTAACTATACAGAGAATATGGTTTTTTGAACCACGATGTAAACATGTTTATTTCTGCTGTAAAGTTGGGCATTTTAACATGGGGGTCTATGGAAATTGCTCCCTTCTGCAGACTGCTCCTACTGGCCACTAGATGAACTGCAGTGTGTGGCATTTCCGTATTGGCGTCCCGGTGTTGTCACATTATGCCTCCCCGTCATGAAATGCCCCCCTTGTCACGGGAACGCGCATTTCTAAATGACACGTTTACACCTCTAAATGACACGTTTACACCATAGGTTTACACCTTAAAACGAAGTTTAAAACGAAAAGTAAACGTTCTGGGTTTTTATTAATGGTAATTTTCAGACTGTGAGTTGTTTAGTGGTAGCTCATAGTCTTGATTCTTCTGGTTTAACTTTTCGCTCCGTATTTGAGGTGTCGAAATTCATTCGTCACTTCCTTTTCAGTTTTTGTTTTTTTTAATCTTTTTTTTATCATTATTGTTACGTCCTGTCTGTATAAACGTGCTTTAAAATGTATTGTTTAATTTTACATAGTTGTCATCTAATAATCAAAATATATGTTTACAAATGTTACATAGTCTTTGTCAGCATATTATTATATACGCTATGCGTACAAAATAAAAGTGTGACATTCATGAAACTTGCTCCATTTATTGGTACCAGTCCTAGAACCATACCCTGAAAAATGCTTGAGGGTGGGATTCATAGAAACCTATTTTTTTTTGGGGGGGGGGGCATTTTATGACAGGCCTGTCCATCACAATATGCCCCCCCTTGCTATCTTACAAAATAAAAGTGTGACATTCATGAAACTTGCTCCATTTATTGGTACCAGTCCTAGAACCATACCCTGAAAAATGCTTGACGGTGGGATTCATAGAAACATATTTTGGGGTGCGGTGCATTTTATGAATGTTTTGATATTCCTTCAGTAAATGTTTTCAACATTAACTTGATATACCTTAAGTTATATTGAGACGTGTTTACCAACCATGAAGTGTTCTGGCACCTCGGTTGGATACCGAGCCTCTCGGCCAAACATCAAAAAGTATGGTGAGAACTTAGTTGTCATCTGCTTTTTTGTTCTCAAGCCAAACATGACTGCATCTAGGTACTCATCCCAGTCTTCTGGTTTGTCTGCCACCAGCTTCCTGAGAGCTCTAAAAAACAAAACTGAATTTGTACTGATAATAGTACTGATAATAGGCATTATATATACTGTATATCAGTGACGTGCGGTGAGGTTCATGGCTGGTGAGGCACTGACTCTTTCAGAGTCAGATTTACAAATATTATATTTTGACCTTAATCGAAATGTTCGGTTATTTTCAAAAGCTTTTTTAGTCTGATGCTTCGATTCATTTTAAACAGACCGTTCAACAAAAGGATACCCAAAATCTAAATATTGGATTGTTCTTTCTTAGTAAGATCCCATGTTCATTACCAATGTGGTCTTACCTTGACTTGAAGATGAAGTTCATGCTATCCTTCTGGACAACAATCTCCATTACATTTTTGTAAAAGTCCTCCTTATCTTCCTCTAGTTTCAAAAGTCTAGTTTGTTGTTTGCGTCTACGGTCTCTGCGTAGAATAACAGTAGCAACAAGAACCTGTGGGCTCACGTGCGCCCCCTTCAGTGCGGCAGAGGTTATGGCTGCCTCCCCTGGTGCTTTTTTCATTGCCGTTGTATGATGAGACCAGCGGGCCTAAATATCATATATACGTGAAATAAATTATTTAGAGACTATGGATGGCGAGGATAAATGTAATAAAGGGATCTACAAACATTACATTGGTGACATACAGTGAGATGGTGCAGGCATGCGCTTAGGGTCCGCTTTCCAGCCAGTTTCTGTGAGGTGACGCATTCTGAGGTGAGGCAGAGCTCATCTGTGCCTCACCTTACCCCACAGTAACTGGCTTGAGCGCGCTCACAAAATAAGTGCCCGCGCTACATTAGTGCCCGCGCTCCAGCCAGTTACTGTGGGCTTACGTGAGGCAGAGCTCGTCCCTGCCTCACTCCTCATCGCTCCCATGTAGGAGTTGTAGCGGAGCTCGGCAAATTTGCTGATTTTGACTATAAAAAGCGATTGGAATCAAACAGAAATCACACTTACAACACAGATCACTTATTATTATTACTATTTAGTTTTTCTTTAGTTGTTTTTCCGTTACATTGGAGTATGACAGGTGAGGCTCTGCCTCCCCTGACTGCACGTCGCTGCTGTATATATATATATATGGTCCGACTGGCATTTGCCTCACCTTTGTATGGTGCCGTTCATCCTCTCTACCAGCCCATTGGTTTCAGGGTGATACTTTTATTTTGTAAGATAGCAAGGGGGGGCATATTGTGATGGCCAGGCCTGTCATAAAATTACCCCCCCCCCCCCCCCCCAAAAGAGGTTCTATGAATCCCACCCTCAAGCATTCTAGGACTGGTACCAATAAATGGAGCAAGTTTCATGAATGTCACACTTTTATTTTGTACGCATAGCGTATATAATAATATGCTGACAAAGACTATGTAATATTTGTAAACATATTTTGATTATTAGATGACAACTATGTAAAATTAAACAATACATTTTAAAGCACGTTTATACAGACAGGACGTAACAATAATGATAAAAAAAAGATTAAAAAAAACAAAAACTGAAAAGGAAGTGACGAATGAATTTCGACACCTCAAATACGGAGCGAAAAGTTAAACCAGAAGAATCAAGACTATGAGCTACCACTAAACAACTCACAGTCTGAAAATTACCATTAATAAAAACCCTGAACGTTTACTTTTCGTTTTAAACATCGTTTTAAGGTGTAAACGTGTCATTTAGAAATCAGCGTTCCCGTGACAAGGGGGGGCATTTCATGATGGGGAGGCATAATGTGACACAACACCGGCTCTGCCCCAGAGTTTGCCGCTTGATCGCAAGGCGATGTTTACAGAGAGAACAGCTGTGATGTCCGTGCAGTCCGTGCAGAAAGCAGAGCAGTGTGTATAATATATATCACTCAGTATAACAGGCCTACTCTCTTTATTTGCTTTAGTTTAGTAGATATCTACAAACAAAGAGTCCATATTTTTCTAAGACCATTTAGTGCTTCACATAATAAAATACACAACGGCTGTAGCCTGATTATGCTTTAGGGTGTGTGTGTGTGTGTGTGTGTGTGTGTGTGTGTGTGTGTGTGTGTGTGTGTGTGTGTGTGTGTGTCTGTGTGTGTGTGTGTGTGTGTGGTGTGTGTGTGTGTGTGTGTGTGTGTGTGTGTGTGTGTGTGTGTGTGTGTGTGTGTGTGTGTGTGTGTGTGTGTGTGTGTGTGTGTGTGTGTGTGTGTGTGTGTGTGGTGTGTGTGTGTGTGTGTGTGTGTGTGTGTGTGTGTGTGTGTGTGTGTGGTGTGTGTGTGTGTGTGTGTGTGTGTGTGTGTGTGTGTGTGTGTGTGTGTGTGTGTGTGTGTGTGTGTGTGTGTGTGTGTGTGTGTGTGTGTGTGTGTGTGTGTGTGTGTGTGTGTGGCGGACAGACAGGTCTCAGTTGGTTTGGTGTCCTCTGCTTACTTTCAATACTTGTAAATAAAACTTTTGGCCCGTAATTTATTTTCCTCATTGTAGCGACCAGAGAGGGGGGGGGATATATCCAGTCTCTGATAGTGTTACGTTATTATGAGAGTGCTCTGTTTGATTCTGAAATTGTATATAAATATATACATATATGTGTGTGTATGTCCACATCTGTAGCCTGTTATTGTCTCATTATACCGCACTGTGAATGAATCAAAGTAAATATATAAGTCATCATGAACACATCTGTCCATCAGACAGAGGGCTGCTGTGCCTCCTGTCATCATTAATGGACGTCTCTTTAAAATGACCCGCTCAGAGGAGAGGAGTTCTCATTTCTCTAACCGCCTGCTGCTTCCCCTCCTCTCTCCTCGGCTCCTCGGCTCGAGGATAGGAGTCGAGAAGGGGAGTTAGAGAAATTAGAAAGGGCCACTGTGTTGTGTTGTGTTGCAGGCTGTGTGTTGATCAGCTGTGTGTTGTGTTGCAGGCTGGGGGTACAGCGGGTAAGGAAGCCGCGCTGCTGTAAGGGCCCCCAGGGTCTGCTCCCCCGACACTCTGCCACTCAGGCAGAGGGGCAGGAGCAGCTGTTCCGCCTGACGGACAACATCCACTCTGAGTTGTGAGTCTCCTGTCATTGTGTGTGTCTTCCCCTTGCTGACCTGTTGTTCATCACACTGACTGTTCACTGCCCCCCCCCCCCAGCTTCATCGCTGTGGAGCCCATCGACAGCTACTGCGTCCTCATCTCCTCTAAGGTGGTGTACTTCCTGCGGCCAGGGGAGTACGTGGACCGGGAGGCCATCTTCCTGGAGGTGAAGTATGACGACCTGTACCACTGCCTGGTCTCTAAGGATCATGGGAAGGTGTATGTGCAGCTCACCAAGAAGGCAGAGAGCACCAGCAGCGGGGTGGCCATCCCAGGCCCCTCCCACCAGAAACCTATGGTGAGCTGAAGTCTATGGGTTCACATACTTTTCAAACCTGCACTGTCAATGTTTGAATGATGTTTTCAATCTGGATAAGAACTTACAAATACTTTGTGTGCTATCAGTTAAAACAGATTGTGTTTGTTGAGTGAAGATCAGACTATCATTTAAGACTTTTATACATCAATTCCGGTTTTCCAAAGGGTTCACTTGATCCCAAAGACACTGAACAGTTGAGCCCAGTCAAACCTCCAGACTACAGTAACATAAGATAAGATATACTTGATTGATCCCCAGTGGGGAACGTGTTTTTGTTGCAGCAGTATGTAAAACAAAAGTATTGCACATCAATAGAATTTTTTTTTAAAAAGTGTACTTGTACACAGCGTCAGTGTGCCAGTGCACTCCCTGGTACTTGTAGTCCTCCATAGCAGCCAAATCCTCTCCCAGAATGCACAGGGGCAGAGGAGACGTCCTCTCCACATTCAGAAGCAGATGATTTTCTCCAGTCCACTCTACAAAATCACCCACCATGCTCTGTCCTCCTCCTCCTCCTCCTCCTCCTCCTCCTCCTCCTCCTCCTCCTCCCTCCTCCTCCTCCTCCTCCCGTCCAGCCCTTATGGACCACTGCAGAGTCATCCGAACATCTCTGCAGGTGGCATGACTCTGAGTTGTGTTGAAAGTCTGAGGTGTATAAGGTGAACAGGAAAGGAGACGGCACAGTCCCCTGTGGGGCTCCTGTACCACCAACCACCACATCAGACAGCACACTGCCCAGCCGGGCGCACTGTGGTCTGTCCGTGAGGGAGTTGGTAATCCAGGAGATGGTGCGAGTGAGCACGCTGCAGCAGGTAGATCACAGCATCGTCGTCCCCAGGTGAGGCTGGCAGGCAAACTGTAGAGGGTCTAGGAATGATCTCACCTGCAGTCTGAGATGGGCCAAGTCTCTCCAGCACCTTCATCACATGAGATGTGAGAGCTACTGGGTGATAGATCCCAGAACCACGCAGGACGTCTTCCACAGCCCCCGTTGACTCCTTCATGTGTTGGCTTTAGACTGCTTAAGAGGGAAAGAGTCATATTCCAAAAAAGACTGCATCTCTGAACCTTCTCTTTACATGAAGACCATTGTATGTGAGCTCCTGATAAGTGATGCTGCATACCAGTTGTATGTTTTCACTTCCATTCACTTTACACCCTAAACACCTTTCACTGCGTTAATAGTAACCCTGTACCGATCCTCTCCTCAGGTCCATGTGAAGAGTGAGAGTCTGGCCATCAAAATCTCTCAGGAAATCAACTATGCCAAGAGTCTGTACTACGAGCAGCAGCTGATGCTTCCTGCCAGCGAGAACGAGGACTGCTTACAGCTCGAGTCCTGATCACATCACTGTTTTACAAGCATTGGTCACTTTTCTTAAATCCTGAGACTGTCAGGGCTTTTATTGATTTTTGTAGACCTCAGTGTTTTAAAGAGTTTGACAAACTGCAGCAAAGGGAACAGTCAGACACATGACCTGATGTCTGGCACATGAAATCACAACATATGCAAGCCGCTGTACATTTGATGAAGAAACACTGGCTCCATGTTTATATGTTCTACATGTTTGTGTATAGACAGAAATGTAAATATAGCTACAAACCAATACTACAAACATACTGTACTAATTATGAAGTGTGGAGAATAACAGATCAAGCTGATGTAAAATATACAAACAAACTGCCTTTCCCTCTCTATTTTGTGTATAAGTGACCATTAGTTGGGGGAGGGGGGGTAATAGCACTGACACAGGGAGTGAGGGGACCTGCAGCCCCCCCCCCTGCCTCACACACTGAAGCTGCCTGTCTCCGTCTCTGCCTTTTACAATCACACACCTCCAGGTCGGACATGTGTTTTATTTGAAACCTTTTTTAACAAGATGCTTCCGTCTGCAGAGTTCTGATCCACAGCACGGAGCGCCCCCTCCTGAGTGTTGGTCTTTGGGTTGAGTGTGTTGTCAGAGATATTCCTAAAATGTGTGTTCGAGAAGAGGAGTGCATATGTGCTCTTTACAATAACGTTCATGTGGACACACTTCAAATAAAGCCCCAAGACAGCAGCAGTGTGTGGCCCTCTCATTTCCAGACTGCAGTGCGTGTGCTCGTGTTCAGGGTTTCTCTATTCCATCACCGACAAGGGTGACGCTCATCAGGATTTATACTATAATGAAACATGAACTTCAAAATCACCCTGAGATCCAGGTTATAACTCTTAACATTTGTGCTTATCTGACATGAAGTCAGCCAACACCCACCAAAGGGTTACACCACTTGTTAGGCTGCCTCCTAGCACCTGCCTAAACCACTCCCCTGTCTAATCACTGTTCAAAGAAATAAACCAATACCAACACAGAAGAGCATCTTCATTCAAACATCAGTGTTCAGGACATGAAGGCCTAACGAGACCTTTCACTGCTCCAGAAATATTGACCTTTCCCATATTTGAATGAAGGGAATGTTCAGAATTGACACATTTTCCTTTTTAATATCTCAAACCTGCTATTTGTTTTGTCTTCATACATAACTTGACATCTAAACATAAGATGTGTGCAGCTTCATACAAAAGCGGTGGCTATGCTGGCCGTGTTAACTGGGTGGGTAAACGTAACGCTCAGCAGAGTCTTTCACCTCTCTCTTTTCAACCATTTTAGAGTAATAACACGTGTGTACAGCATGCAAGAAAACAACATGGTTTTTGTCCCAAACTGCATGTGATTATCATAAAGCGAGCATGTCTTTAGAGCAGAGGCTGCTGGGTATCCATAGACCCTGTTACAGCACAGTCAGAAATCTTGAGGTCAGAGGTCAAGGGCCCCCTGTGGTTATAGCCATGCCAGCTCTTCCCTCGCCAACAATGTGCTTAGGAGGTTATTTCCTACAAGCTAGCACCACATGGTTGTACCAATGTATTCCTCAGGTTCTTCTAGTTCCTTATAATACCAGTACTTTGCTTTAGCTTTAAAACGTTGCGATGTGTGTGGTTAAAGGTGTGAGTTCATGTCTAGTGTAAACCCATTTTGATATTTTGAAATGTGTTAAAACAGACACAGTTGGTCACAGGGCTGCCGGACAAATCACCTGCAGGTGAGCCAGGCCTGAGTCCAAAAGCTGATGTTTAGAACATTATTAGTTCAGACAGATCACTGACAGCACAATGGAGGTTTTTGTTTTATTCCACGGGATATATTACATAACAGTCTCTTCACATGGTTTTAGAGAACTAGCATCCTCTAAGCCAGCGGTTTTCAAAGTGTGAGGCGCGCCTCCCTGGGGGGCGCCAGAGAGCTTCAGGGGAGGCGCAGCGTGAGAAAGAAATAACGAGAAAAAGACGAGTAAAGTGTCACTTGCACACTTTTGGCTGTCTGGAGACCGAGTTCCCCCACCTCGCCAAAAAGGCTGTTCTTATGTTCTCTGAGGGGAGGCTCACCTTCCCACACTTTGAAAACCCCTGCTCGACGCTAAGAAAGATTGTTTGTCGTTTTTTTCTCGGAAATTTGTCAACAATAGTTGAATTCTTGAAAGGAGAAACATTAACATGTATATAAATATATATATAAAATATATAGTTTAGACCACTAATACAATTGATGCATGTCCAGTCTAGGGACATGAGTGTCTTTCTGGATCATTAGAGACCGGGTCCTCAAACAGGGGGTCTGCAGACTCTTAGTCTGGCTCCAGCATTACTCTAGTCTACATGGATACAGTCATTTTGAAGCGAATGTTAAAAACAGAAAGCTTGGGATTTAAAATAATTTGGAGCTTTAAATAACTTCAATAACACATTATTGATTCATGTATGCATTAGTTAAACAAGGAAACACTCCGACAGAGGCCTCTACAGTGCAGGGTCACAAAGGGAGGGGGAAATGCTGTTGTTGTTGTTGTTGTTCTTTCAAAGATTACAGAAGCATTGTCAGTAGTATTTGATGTGGTCTTCAGAGACTCCACTGTGGGAGGGGAGCAAAGACGGACCCAGAAATCCCAAACAGCCCGTCTGGAGAAACTGGCCTGGTGTAACCGGTGGTGTCTGCTGTGGGATGGACCTCTGCTCTGTGGGGGGGGCTGCAGTATCTGTCCCACTGCATCTTTAGTGTTCAGCAGATGCCTCAGGTGGGGGGGGTAGAGGAGCAGAAGCCTCGGGTCATGTCAGCCCCCAGGTGGAGCTCAGCAGCAGCAGCAGGGCGGAGGAGGAGGAGCAGAGCCGCAGCGCAGCGGCTGCAGACACACACAGCATGACTCACTACCCTCTACAGTCTACACATGCCAACCAGCAGTGAGTCCATGTCATAACAATAGTAACATTAATATATAAAATCAAAAGTAATTTATGAAAAAAGTGATTTTGGTAACTTTCCTTACAAACGTATCTTTAATTTACTGACTGCTGGTTTTATGATGAGTGAAAAAGATAATGAGCCCCTCCCAGCTGAGACTCTGCAATGATGACTGACTTTATTTGTTAAACATCATTTAAAATGGATTGTTTAATTGTGCATAATTGATGCAATATATATGTTCTTCATGTGAGTATTTTATAACTTGATGGGATGTGACCATAGTGAGCTGAGAGACCTACCAACAACATGTCCTCTTCCTTTCTTCAGTCTTGGGTTGTCTGTAAAATACATCAAATAAGAAAACCATTGAGTTGGAGCTCACCAGACTAAGGCCCGTTCCAAAACCGCCCCATATACCCTAGGGATGCATATCGTTCACTTTTTTACGATACCGATACCACTGAACGATACCAATACATATCGTGATACTTTGAAAATGTATCATCCCATAATTACTCCCATGAAGCACTTTACGATATAGTTAACATGTCAAATTAATATTAAATTCAATTGTGGGACTTCTTGGACCTTTTAGTACTGAACATACAATAAAAAATACATTAAAAATATGAAGAAAACCGATTATGGAATATATTTTATAACACCCGCCATCAGGTGTGCCGCGTGTGAGATTCGACTAGAGAACAAATACATAATAGAATAATGGTCATGAGATCTCGGCATTGCACAAACAAACAAATCTCATCTTTAAAATCAACATGTACCTTCACTGGTGAGAGAAAACAAATCCCATCACAGTTCATTTGTGGGACTTTTACCTTTCTAGTGTTGAACAAACAATGAAAAATACATAAAATATGAAGAAAAACGATTATGCAATCTAATTTATAAAACCCGCCATCACGGGCCACGGACTCACTTTTAAAATTAATTAAAAAAAACCAATATTTTTTCTTTTCTTTTTTAAAAGTATCGAAACCGGATTTGAGTTATTAATTTACATTTGTTGTCTAAGAGATGCTGATTTGAAACCGTTGTTACATACAGTTACGGCATTTCCTGTTTCTGCCGGAGAGAGGGGAGGCCGTCCCAAAGCTTGCTGCTGTATTTACTCCCTCCATCTGACAGGAGGGAGCCTCGTTGAGCTGCGAGTGTGGCTACAGACGGAGTTCACTCCGTCACGGAGGGGTAGGGTCGAGGGAGTGGTTTGGGATTGGACCTAAGAACGTGTCACCTCACACACACTCACCAAACACGATAAGGCGGGTGTGTGTGTCTGTGGAGCCCAGAGGATTCTGGACCGTGCAGCGGAACATGGAGCCATTGAGCTCAGCAGGGACTCTGTCCAGGACCAGCTCTCTGCCTGCATGGTACTCCCTGCCATCCAGCAGGAGCCCCCCTACTCGGGTCCAGGTGTACATGGGCTCCGGAAAAACCTCGCTCTGTGGACACACACACACACACACACACACACACACACACACACACACACACACACACACACACACACACGATCTGTTACCTGAAGCATCTGTTGAGGAAAGTCTTCAGTTGCTTTGTCAAAATGAATCAGCACCTTTGCTCTTTAATCTGCAGATAAAGGTCAGAAGTATGTTTGGTGTTTAAGACGCTTTCTTCTTTCCTGATCCTCTCTCTCTCTCCTGTTCCTCAGGTCCCTTCATGGCACTTCTCTGATCCTCCACCAGATGCAATCGGCTTTCTTTCCTTTTCCCACCTGAATAGTGAACGAGCCGGCTCTTTTAAGTTTCTTTTTTCTTTCTTTGTTTTATTAAGTAATACAAGACAGAATGATATGATGATCTCCGTGCTACGGGTGCTCCGTGCCTGCATGCAGTGACATGTAATAAGGATTAGAGACTGTTGGATGCTGCTGTTTTGAGAATTGCAATATATTTATTTGCATTATGTTATTTATTTATGATTATTTTTAGGCTCAGCAAAGATTTGTTGTCAGTTTGTATAGGTGTTGCTATCTGCTTTTTTTTAGTGTGGTTCTACAATCAGAGTTACAAGGGTCTGTAAATGCAATGATTTAAGTGATATGTGTACACAAATAAATCATTAGTCAAAACAGGGCTAAAAAACGGCTCATTTGAACGGCTCTCGCAAAGGAACGGAGCCATAAGATCCGGCTCGAGCTGAAGATTTTGGACTAAAATCTGTATCATGGTCAGTAGCGTCTGGAGTACGAACGCAACCCTGTGATCCGCCATTGTTGTTGTGGTTATTGGCGAAATGCATCAGCAATAGAGTTGTGCAGTAATGCGTTCTAAAACCCGGAAGTAAGCTTCTTCCGGTTCCTTCGACAAAAAACCAATGCAATGTCTCCATAGGATTTTAGAAAATAGCTCGAAATAAGGTCTGTGGTTGACACAAATTTAAGAGACGGATCATGCTTTGTTCAGTCGGATAATATCCACATGTCTACCCTACTTTTATAATTTTGACTGCACCACTCTATGACGCGGGGTGAGCAGGAGAGGTGGGGAGAGGCGGGGCTATGGCGTCATCGTTTCAGGAAATTATCGTATAGGGCGTACGTACACACGGAGCCACAAGCGCTTCGTCTCCAGACTTACCCACTTTGGGAGCCGTTATCAAAGTGTATCGGATTCGGGATATATTTTATTGATTTATTGATTATCAGTTTGAAAGACATTTAATTTTTTGCGTGCCGTGAGTTATTACAGTGATACCTTTCTCTGAACCAGCCCAAATCATGGAAAACCGCCCATCTGGCAACACTGAGCGCGAGAGCAGTCTGGACCCTGCAACGTCATAACGCTGTGATTTTCGTTTGGATTACTGGTCTGGGGGAAGCTTGCGAATGTGTGTGTGTGTGTGTGTGTGTTTGTGTATTTTTGTGTTTGTGTGTATTGTGTTTGTTTCCCGGGGAAAACACCAGAGGTGGGGACTCGAGTCGCATATTTTTGGACTTGAGACTTGCTTGACTAACATTGATAACATACTTGACTTGACTTTGACTTGGTATTCATGACTTGAGACTTGACTTAAGCTTGAGATAGATGACTTGAAAGGACTTGACTTTTTAAAATTAAATATTTGCGTTTGTTTTTGTATTGAAATATTATATTTCGTTTTTTCGAAATGTGATTGGGTGATTATAGCGCCATGCGCGCAAACCTGGCAACCCACTAGAAGGCAGGAGTGTCAGTTAACATGGCAGCGGCTAGCGTTACTCCACAAATAGTCAAGTTTGGATTCAAGGATTATGTTGTCGATGACGGTAATGACAAGAGAACAGCGGTATGCAGGGTCTGCAGCATAAAGATCAGTGACACGACCACCCCAACATCACGAGAGAGCGAGAGAGAGAGAGCGCTCAGGGACTCTCAGTTAATTTTAGTCTAAGTTATCAGCTGCTGAGTCTGACGGAGACACGTAGCTCTGCATTATCACCTGATGCTCCGCCCTCTATTTAGCGAGCTGACCGGACTGCGCAAAATGCGTACATGAAGCGCTACGTCATGAACGCGAGAAATCTACCCTCGTGGGGGCGTGCTCATGTGATTGGCTTTGAATTGAGGAGACATCGGAGTGGCTTTAGATAGAAAAAATTACAAGTACGAATCGGCTGACCCACACACGAATGCACAGCGATCCGTGCACAGAAAGCAGTTTGTGTTTGCAGGTTCAGGGGATTTAAACGGAAAACAAATATGTGAGGATCAAAAATACATATGTAAAACTTTGTTCTGTATTTGGATTGTATTTACATGTATATGAAACGGAACACATTTGTGTGTGCATTGAAAAACACAAGTGTAGATCCGGAAATACAAGTGTGAATCCTTCTGTGTGCATGTGTGTATTATGAGACTGTTCTGAGCCCATATAGATTGGACTGGCTTGTTGCAGAGACACAAGCTCAGGGCTCCCACTAATTCAGCGTAATGGTGAGTTGTATTTGTATGCACTTTATATTAGTTTTTATGCCGGTGTTCAACTGGTTAACGTGTTAACTGGTTAGATCTGCTTACGCATTTACTTTGATTACCTCCTTCTTTTGCAGTGCGAGAGACTTTGAGACAGCAAACTGTGTTGAGTCAGTGTTTGAACGGGCAGATTGTCTGTAAACTGCAGCATATAAATGAAGCCTGCAATAAATAAATAAAATCGATTTAACTATAGCCGAGGCAATTAAGGTCTGAACCCATGCTTTGAAAAACGCTACTTTACTTGCATTTTATCTAATCGTCTGTGCCGCAGACACTTTTTTTTGTTGCAATTACATGCCTTTGTGGTGTGTTTGATGCAACATTCAACCCAATGGAAAATAGCTAACCAGTTAACACAATAAGCAGTTAAACAGGAACACAGGTCGAAAATATTTTCTTACATGAAACCGGTCCGTGGCGCAAAAAAGGTTGGGGACCGCTGGTCTATACGATAGAGAACGTTAGCGGATACAACTGATATCGTCTCCGTGTGGATGGGGCCTCAGTTAGGAACCTAAGCAAAAAAGCCTATTTGTCCGCAACTCATATCTTTTATCATGGCCCTCTGGAGACTTTTTATGAACTTGAGTGATCCCTGTTCAAATAGCCCCCCCGTGTAGGAAACTCACGGCAGGAGGTCCCAGCCTGAAGCCCTGGACAGTGATCCGCACGGTGTCCCCCACCCTGGCCTTACTGGGGCTCATGGACAGCTTGGGTCCTCTGGGAGTAGCTGATAGAAAAGTCAAACAGCATGTATGACTGATGATGTTCAGTGAGACATGCTTCACATTTCATTTGTGGGAATACAGGTAATTGTGAATTGTACATGTTATCTAAAAAAAGTTGTCTACCCACATTATAAGGATGTACCACCCTGCTGAGATGAGATTGGAGATGTCTCCCTCCTGTCATGTAACTTTGGTTCATCCAGTGAAGTAAAGCCGTACTAACTTTGCTCAAGGCTTGGTCTGACCCACTTACTGTTCATTGTTCTCACTTTCCTTTGAGTTCATGGATTCATTACCCAGGTTAGTTCTTTGTAGCTCTGGATTTGATCTCCAAAAAGTGTTGCGTTTGCTGTAGCTCTGGGTATCCATCTCATTATTTCTCTTGAAACGGCACATCATCAGTGTCTGGACTGCCGGGGTTTCGTCTGACATGTCAGTACACTCTGCATATTTATTCTAACTATAACTAGTTTACCTTTCCATCAATGCTCTACTACTGTGGAACTCTTTCCTGACTGAAACAGCTCACTAAATAGAACCTTGTCAATCGGCATCATCTTTGTTTTACTACCACCCTCAGGAGTATTGTGTATAAAATGTCTTCAGCCAAACTTCTCGGAATACCTGCACTTCCTGAAGGTGACATGACTATGTAAGGCCTGTCACTCATAATTCCAAACCCCTCTAAGCTAAGGCTTAAACAGGAAACATTTTGTAAAAAAACTAAGTATATTAAGTCAACTAAGTAGAGGGTCGCTGTGTTCAGAGCTACGTCATGAGTACCAGGTCTGCTCTCATGCAAATGAATGCATTTAAAAATGATCAATAAAATGATGTTTTTGTTATATAGTTGATATCATGGGTCCCTTTTGCTTTAAAAGCTGACTGTATAACGGTTGATGTGAGGCGGTGTGTGTGTGTGCAGGACTCACACAGTGTGACCTCGGCCTGCATGGGCATGGACAGAGCCGGGTGGTGCACCTCACAGCTGAACAGAGCCTCATTGTCCAGCTGGGGGTTGAGGCTCCAGGTCAGCATGGCCCTCACCTCCATGGTGCCGTCCCCTGCCGCCTGCTGCCGCTGCTGGAAGTGGTAGAGTGGGTCGCTGCTCTGGACCCAGTGGGGAAACTCCCGGCTCACCACTGTCTCAGGGATCGCCTCTGTGGTTGTCTCGGGGTCTGATTCGGATTCCTGCTCTTGGCCCTTGTCTGAGCCCTGGGGGCCGTCCTGGCCCAGCCGAGCCAGCTTCCCTTCTAGTTCCAGCAGGGACAGGGACTTCTGGACTTTGGTGTCATCTAGGTCTCTACCGGTGAGAGCCCGGGAGCTCCAGCTCTTTTCCAGCCTTGGGCCATTTCTTTTGTCTTCCACTGAGGAGGAAACCTGGACAGTTGGCACCACATCAATCAGCTCCCCATCTCGCTTGAAGTACACCTGAAGGACAGGACAATGGAGGCAGGAATAAGTACAGCTGGTGGAAGGAGATGCTAAGGAGTCAACAGTGGTGTTCCATAGTGTGTGGTTGTTCACAGTGCAGGGAAAAGTGAGGAGGAGGAAAGTGTGAACGTTTAAACAGGATTAACCAGAGGCCTGCACACGACTGATGGCTATGTGTCACTGTTTCTCCTAAAAATACTAAACCATTTATCATATCATCAGAGATTCAGGAAAAATTTGCAAATTAACTATCCAGTATACTTCTATTAAGTATTTAATCAATGTGATCTTCAGAGGAACTGTTTCAATGCCATGGAAACCAAATGATAACATGTCATGTTTAAAATCATTGATATGTAGCGAGTTCATTTACCCTTGGCCCTATTGTTACCTTGAGCACATGCCTTTTTATCAGGGACTGTGTATCTCTATTATTGATTTTACATTAGCGTTTCAGAGGTTAGTGCACAATGCAACACTTCTTCATCATCATGTGCAAAGGCTGAAGCTGCGCCTACGAAGGCTAAAGATGTTTAGATAACAGGCCAGAAAAGTATCTGTCCTGGAAAGCTAGCTTCTGCAATGCCAGAGGGCTTGAACTTGAAACCTGAGCCGTTTCTCAAAGTCGAGGACGCTTCCTTGGTCGGACATGTCCTTCCGAGTCAGGTCCTTCAGATGCTAGGCAAGAATCCTTCCTAGCATTCGGAGAACGAAGAATGGAACAGGCTAGCAAGTGTGCAGGTGTGCATAATTAGCCTACATCACGATGTACCTAGCTAATTATGAACTTGCTTTACTTTCATGGAACACATTTATGGTGATAACAAATTTAACAAAGTAACATATTTACCAACACATTTACTACGCCACTGAACATACTTACATTTAAATGTGTACTGCACGGATTCAGTCATTTTCCATCAAAGATTTGGGAAATTGATCCGTGCGCAAAGAATTGTGGGTCATTTAAGACCACCGAGGATACACATAAGCAGCCTTGACATTTTCTGCAACGAAGGATTCAGTCCTCGGTAGATTTCCAAGGATCCTGTACATTGGAACAGTCCTTCGGCGGGATTCGATGACGTAGCATCCTTGAAATAGAGGCTCTGAAGGATCCTTCCTTGACATTGAGAAGCAGCTCTAGTGTGGAGCTAGGCTTGCTCACAAAGTGGCTCGACAGGGAGTCACTGCAGCTTGTTAAAAGAATGTGTGCTGTCAACATCAACTATCCTATGACTGGTCTTAACATGGTGCGGCAACGGTTAGATACAAACAGTGGCTAACCGTGTCTATCACAACTGGACCTTCTGTAGACACACACACACCCCTCCGCCGCAAAATCATAAATAATGACTTTCAGTGGCTGCAGGAACTTGCAGATCTGCTCCTTGAAGTTGAACCTGCTAAATAAAAGGTTACCTACCAGGCCTAAGCTTCCGTGACACATCTAGAGGTCCCACCAAGCTAAAGACTGTAATGCTGACATCAACGGCTTAGAGTGCGACAGTAATCGTCACATCTCAGCTCTTCATGCTGGTCCACCCAACTGGGCAGCATCTGGTCCCAGCACATCTCCCGCAAAGCATGGCTTTCCAGGACCAACTTTCTAATCCTGCTCCAAAATAACTTTGGTCAACATCTATCCTAAACAGTGTTGGGTGTAATGCGTTACAGCAAAAAGTAATGTAACGCATTACTAATGAAATTTGGGTAATATAATACCTGTTACAATTCTCTGTAAACACACAACACATTTCAACCCGAAATTAAGTGGTGTTTTGCTTTTAAAGAGTTCACCAACATCGCAAGACATTCCGACACCAGAGAAAATGTGTGCGGGTAGATTAGTAAGCCTGTTGTTTACTATTGGTCAAGATGGCGGCAGGAACAGATTCCACTTTTGAGCGATGGGTGTTCTCATATTATTTTCAGTTCATTCGAGAAAAACATAATAGTCAAGTGCAATCTATGTTCGACAGCAAAGGAATTGTCTACATCAAGAAATAGCACTAGCAACATAAAGAAACACCTGGACCGGTGCTAGTTAGTCGAGAGATCTGCCGGCTCGAAGTAAAGAAAACACACAGAAGACACGAGTGCGGGCAAGCCGAAGCAACAAAAGTTAAAACTTCTCTGATTGTGGAACCCCGAAAAGTTAAGAGACTCGTGGCAGAGTATGTTGTAGAAGACATGCAGCCTCTGTCAACTGTGGAGTCACCGGCATTTAGAAAGCTTGTCAGCCAAATCCCTGTCAACCCCACCAATGACAAGGTAAGCTAACATTGCAATAGAGACTTTTTCATATACAGTAGGTTACTAGGCCATGCCGAGGCTGTACTACCATGTTGTTCACTAATTCTTGAGATAAGGGACAAAACAGGTCCTACATCCCTTGGTGACTCGGACTTGGACTCGAAGAGTGGTGACTCAAGAGTGACTTGGACTCGTGAATTGGTGACTTGACTACAACACTGCTCTGAGCCATGGAGAACCACAGGGCACAGTGGCTGTTGCGCCGGCTGGCGAACAGGTCCACTTCTGCTCTCCCGAACTGGGCCCAGACCTGCTTCACCACCTCCGGGTGAAGCGCCCACTCGCCTGGCAGGGGGCCGCCCCTCGACATGAGGTCGCTCCCCCTGTTCTACAGTCCCGGGATGTGGACGGCTCTCAGAGACAACACCACCTCTGAAGCCCATAACCACAGTTGCTCCGCTGTGGTCAACAAGGTGGCGGAGCGGACTCCGCCCTGTCTGTGCCACTGTGATGCTGATGTCGCTCCTGACCAGTACATGTCTCCCCTGAATTAAGGGTTTGAAATGCTGGAGGACCAACACTACTGCCCGTAGCTCTAGGAGCATGCTGTGCCGTGTTACTGTTAGAGACCAGCGCGGAGTGTGTTCCCTGACAGTAATATGCCGGCCATAATGCCCCTGTACCTGCAATGCCCCTGTACCTGCATAGCGCCTTGATAGCACAAGTGTAGAATTGTGGAAAAAAATTACACTTAGACTTGTTGATATGTAGTCTCCCTTAGTCTTAGTCCCGTAGTCTCGCCATCGCGCTGCGCTCCCTCGCCTGCAGGGAAGCCTGTGGAGGAGGGCGCTTGAGGAAGAGCCAGCGGTAGCATGCGGCTAAGCTGCACCCTCACCTCCTCTAGGCGGCTGAAGCCCGAAGAGCCCCTCCGTGGACACGGGGGCTCCAAGGAGATCCTCTCGGTCCTTCTTGGATAGGGCGGTGAGTCCTAACCACACGTGACGCAACGCCACCGTGGCCAAGGACATCACCTGCCACGCTGCGGTGGCCACCCCATGGATCAGATTGTTCATCTGACCAATGCAGCGGTCCGAATAATCGCTCCCGTCCTGAGGCGGGAGGCCGGGGTGTCCGTCTGAGGAGTAATCAGGGAGACACCCAACACGCCGTGATGATTTGCCGTAGCCGCCATCTGTGCCCCGAGCCTGAATATTTTCTCCAAATATTCGAAGGTGTCTCGGTCCCGCGACAGCGGGGGCAGAAGTTTATTTCCCTCCGCCCAACCATCTGCCTGCGGAAGCAGGGGGGGCACACCGGGACACACCGGGACACGCCGTGTCCGAGCGGCCCTGCACCCTGATGATACCTGCCATGGTTGCTATTTGGGCCTTCGTCCTCAATGGCTGCCGCCACGTCGTCTCCACACACTGCCAGATATCTGGCAACGGGGGCGAGACGAAGACCGGCTGCGCCGGATGCACCGGGCCGTAAAACCCCTGTCGAAGGCGGATTACTGGCCTCGGTGGCAGCGGTGGGGGGAGCGGTAGGCCCACACGCTCCACCGCCAGGGTCATCACCGCCGGGAAGTCCAGACGCGCAGACCTGTGTGCTGGACCCTCCTGGCCGCCGGACCCGAAAGTAGGGGGTACAACTCTAAAACACCCATATGAAATATTTGATGAAAACATTTAAATATTAAGAGTAGCCTACATACAAAATAAGGGGAAAGTAGAAGGTCAATGATAGAAATATAGAATAGAAAAGATCAAGAAGATACTGTAGTGATCTCTACAATAAAACAGTTTAAAAATAAAACCGGCTCTGGACAATTTGCAGCCCCAGGCAAGATTTTAGCTGGCGCCCCAGCCAGAGAATCGTACAATTTAAAATACAAAGATCAATAGAGTATCCAAGGAATACACAATAGAATGGGGGGTGGATGTCACATCCTCTAGGGGGGTCTGGGGGTATGCCCCCCCGGGAAGATTTGTTTGAGCATTTTAAAGTAAAATGCTTCAATCTGGTGCACTTTGAGCAGAATTACTAGAGACTATCTAGGGGGTACAACTCTAAAACACCCATATGAAAGAGATCGGTTTACATTTTAATAATTAAATAAGTATGTGAACATAACCAATAACCTACCATAGCCAATAACAAATACATGTAACTTATTTTATTTTTGTTGTTCATTCATATCTTATTTGACCTATTAACATTTCTTTATTCATGCGTGTTTTTTTATCTCTCCAGTTTTAAACGATATGTCTGGTTTACTGTCCTATAGTATACATTGGAATGATTTCAAACCTGTTTTATCCCAATAATTATAAAGGAGTGCCTTGGAAATATGTGTTTACATAAATTGTGATCAAAACGTTTGAGACCCACTGAGATAACTTAGACTAAAGTGAACTATCTAAACACTCAGAGTCCTTTACCTCACTGAGCTGTAGTTATCAGCCTCTCAGTCTGACTGGCGAGGACTCTCCCTCCACATTATTGTAGAAACATCTATTTCTTATATCCGTTAGAGCAGCTAGCACCAGATGCTAATAACAACAGCACCGGTACCGGTGCGCCCTTCTCTCTCTCCCTTGCTCGCTCACTTGCACTTTGGCTGTGAGCTGCGGGTGCCTGATAAGCCAACATCCCCCATTTTATATTTATATTGATATTATATGAATGAATCCGTTTTTTACCGATGCAAAGACTCTACAATCGATGCATCACGAGTTCAACCCAAAATGTAGCCGATGTGCACTCTTTCAACCGGTGCACTCGCATCTTGAATGTTTATGCCGGTGCACCGATGCGAATCAGTGAATCTTAACATCCCTAGTGTGGACAGAAGAGCATAGCTGTCGCCATTTGCAATTTCATTGTATCATCTTATCATTGTTTTATTAAACGCTGTAAACTTGTAAATAAGCTTCAGAGCTAAAACAAAATACACTGCACAGCCACATATCTACAGGTGTGGTGAGGGCAGAAGAACTACACATTCTAATTATAATGTATAATTGTAATGTTATACAATAAACTTGTTTCCAATATATATAATGGCTTAAGGTTTCTTTCCTAGCACACAAACCAGTGAAGCAAGTTGGATGATGGAGTCCTTCAAGAGAGCTAAAGTGTGAACCTGCTCCGTCTCACCGTTGGAACAGGCTTTGCTCCCGTCACGATGCAGACCAGAGTGAAGTTCTGCGCCTCGTAGCGGCTGAAAGGAGCTGGGCTGTTGGCTGCCACCACAGATATAGACTTGGGAGGTACTGCAGATAAAACCATAAAAGAAAACCAAAATAAACATACATTATAAGTTATTATAAGTATTCATCAAGTAATGAAGAAATCAGGGTTCAGAGTCAGTGACGACTCTGAGCTGAGGAAGCTGCAGCAGTTTTTGGAAGTGGACATTTTTGTCCCGAATGACTAATGTGTGAGTTTTTTTGTTTAATCTGATTTTGTGCAAAAACTAATAATCAACCAAAATCAATGTTGTTGCTAATCTTTGACATATCCAAGACTGTGATAAAAAAAAAGCCGACCCCCCCAACATTTATTATATGGAAAATAACTGCCTTTTTGTGCATGTTTTTCATAGAAAACGCTAATTCATGTTTTCAAACTGGCAGTTCAAGGGTTAAAATCCTGAACATAATTTAACAATTTATATTTTTGATCAGGACTGAAGTTGATTGAAAGATTTAACCCCAAAAAGTTTAAAAAAAGATTAATCTGTTGTCATTTTAGAGCAGTTTTTGGAAGTGGACATTTTTGTCCCAAATGACTAATTTGTAACTTTTTTGTTCATTCTGATTTTGTGCAAAAAGTAATAATGCAAAAAAATCAATTTTGTTGCTAATCTTTGACATATCCAAGACTGTTATAAAAACAAGAGCCAGTCCCCAGATATGTATTTTTTGGAAAATAACTAATTTTCTCTGTTTTCATCATGATAAAAAACAGCGGTTTCATGTATTCAAAATGGCATTTAAAGGGTTAAAATCCTGAAAATGATTACATTTTTGGTATTTTCTATTAGGGCGGAAGTTGCTTTAAAGATTGAACCCAAAGAAGTTGTGAAAAAAACCTTTTAATATAATGTTTTTATCAAAGTCTTTTGCAGTGGACATTTTTGTCTCGAATGACTAATTTGCGTAGTCCAATCGAATGATACCCTAGGGCTAGATCTGGTTGGTTGAACCTTTCCTTAAACTGGACATCTACACTATCTAGCATTTTGTAGAACTCTGTTCTGTAATTCTCCACAGGTGTCTTGGGAGTGTAATGGCTCCCCCCACCAGTGTATCGTTTTGGTAGCTGTCTTTGGTGAGGAATCTGAATGGGCTCAATCCCAAGAAAAAAAAAATTGAACTGTCTCTTCAATTCCGCTTGTGCTCCTGGATGTCTTCCTGACATATTGGCAGCACCATCACATGTCTGACGCCTTAAACCAGACAAGGGAATATTTAGCCTTAAGAGGGCATCCACAGCCACTCTAGCAATCTCCTCTCCAGTGGTCCGTGAGACCTCATATAAACCATAAACCTCCTGTGGTACCAGGTCATGGTCCACATATCTCAAACAAAAAGACTCTTGCTCTATTCCTGAGACATCTTGAGTGCCATCTATGATTGAGTACTGCAAAACTGGTAGAGACTCGATGGATAGTGCAATACTTCTGACAATACATATTCCAAACAATCGCAAAATCTCATTTTGCACTGGAGGAGAGGTATAGTCATGACAGCGGGATAGCCAACTAGAGAGACAGGCGTCATCCTTGGCTTTGAATTTCAAAAGCTGAAATAGATTTCCATTTTGTGTCTCATGGCCTTGCAGTGCCACACCCTGCCTAGCCAGGTACTGTATTGAACCTACAATATTTAGCAGGCAGTGCCTAGCATCTTCTTGTTGTTTTGCCCAGGCACTTGAGAGTTGTGTATCTATTGGGGTTGCTTCTTGAGCACTAACTGTGACCGCATGATGGTGGGATTTACTATTCTGGTGGCGTTCAAAGCTAACAAGAGCATTCTTCCAGTTATTGTATCCTTTTGAGGAGAATGCAGGGTCTGCCTTTGTGGACAGTGCACTTTTCTATATAGTGTATGTTTTCAAACAATGAAAACAGAGAATTCCCTTCACGTTGGAGTTATAATCAAGCCATGGATACTGCTTGTACCAACTGTCCTGAAAATGGAGGACCCTATTTGACAGCTTTTGAACTGCAATGTATTTGGGGTGAGGTTGGTTTGGCCTGACTTCAATGTCCAGAATATCTCCAGTTGACAAATAAAGAACCTTGAACCTTGAGTTCTCGTCACTCTCATTGCTACTCTCCCTGTCTACAGCTGGATCCGTTTCCTTAGAAATACACCACAGTATACAATTAGCCACTCTGTATCAACTGCTGCATGTGAACATACATCTACACTGAGCCTAGTCACCACTTATTTGAAATACATAGTATAGTATTCATGTTATGTTATTATGTATGATTGTTTGCTTAATAGACCTTTTAGTATACCAGTGCAACCTCAATGTAATACAAAACAAATATCTACATTTACTCTTATAACCACGTTGTTACAAGCTTATAGTCCTCACCTGCGACCCTGCCTCTCCTCCTCTGTCTGAACTACACGGTTGGGTTGCTTCTTCTGTCACCTAACAAATTAACACATTGATGCATGCCATATGAACCGTGAGCATGCAAAAACATTTATGGCCTAGTTGAGTATTATTATGACCATTATTGTTGACTCTACACATTAGTGTGTGCACACAACAGATACTGGATGGCGTCTTTCCTCCATGCAAAGAGATGTGGCGCTTCTGACAACCAGCTGTACAGCCTCTCACACATTAGCAAGAGACGGCAGAGCCAATCCTGTTGGTGATATTGAGTTAGGGAGGCGGGACTCGTAATACGAGATCTGTTAACCGTTTGTGTACCAAATGTACTTGTAAATCACTTTGGATAAAAGTGTCTGCTAAAATGTGCTAAATGTAAATAGCCTACGTTGACTAGAGACTGACGGTCCGTTAGATTTAAAAAATGTTATCAAAATTATTGGTAGGGACGATTCAGTAGTCGCTGGATATTGGGAGGGACATGTCCCTACCATCCCTACCCAATTATACGCCCTTGGAACACACAGTAATAACTGTTACATGTCTAATACAGATGTAGCACCTCATTTTGCACGTCCCTACCTCAGTGGGGCCGTGACCGGCACAGCGTCGGCCCTCGATGAAAGGAAAACCCCTAGTGTGACGTAGTGGACACGGCTCAGACTTGTTACTCCCCCTTGATAAATGATAATGGTAACCAGCTGCAATGGATCATGGATCCACCAGGGGGAGCAGTGATGGACGCTGCCACAATGGAACTCATATGAAATAAACAGCTGATTCCTCACACACACAGAAGCTTGTTGTTTCTATGCATAAAATAGTGAGAAAACATGCCTCTGGTTAATAATTATATAACTTATTTTCTCCATAAAAGCTGGTGGGTTGAAAGCAATACGGGAGGTGAAAATAACTATACTGTGTAGCAGTATTGTCACGATACCAACATTTTGGTTTCGATACCGATACCAAGTCAAGAATTGCGATTCCGATTATTTTTCGATACTTTTCTTAAAAAAAGGGAAACAGTCTTAAATGTAATTATTGTGCTTTATTTCACACCAGAACCATAACCATAACACAAACTTTTAAACAATGACAACAATAAATAAAATAAATGACTAGAATTTGTATTAAATACAATTAAGCATCATCTATAAACAACTTTTTTGTTTTTCGCTTCTGGCGTCTTTTTTGTCAACAAGCCGAGGCGCAGCGGCAGTTGCACTCCCACTTGCAGCCATGCTTCTCGCTTTCTCACATGCTCTGGCAGCTAGCGCGTGCACGAGAGAGGGGAGGGACTTAGAGCGTGCTTGAGAGGGGAGGGACTGCAGGCACGGCTGCAGTGCAGGGAGTGGAAGCAGAGCGCTGAACACACACGGCTCTTATTAAAACAGCGCTTTCTCACCGGATTACTTTTCCCCATCATTCTTAAAGTACCAAGTAAAGTAACAAGTTTAAATAAAAGGCTGGAGTGTTTCTTGCTCTGCCAGGTACAACAAGTTGGATTTATCTATGATTACTATAGCGCAGTGACCATCAACTGGCGGCCCGTGGGCCACATCCGGCCCGCCAGACTATCTCATCTGGCCTGCACGGCGGGGGTGACTGTGGCGTTGGCGGAGTGGCTATTGCGTTCGCCCCCCACTCATTTTCTTTTACAACGTCTCGTGAAAAATGTGCAGTACCGGACTCCAACAGAGAGGCAGCAGCTGCGGGACAGTAGCCTGCGTACTGCGTAGCCTTCCCTGCCCTGAAGAAGAAGTGATCCTTCGTTAGCGTGAAGAGTCTGCTAAGCTTTATGTGCTCCGCAGTACCTGACAGTGCTCCACTAGCACCCCCCGGTCAACAACTTCAAAATTCTGGGCTATATAAAAATGTCTGGCCTGCCAAAGTGTCTATTGGATACATTTTGGCCCTTGGGGTTTCCGTCCTAATGCCGTCTTCACACGGAAGGTGAAATGCATTAATCAGAGCTATTAAACTAGGCGATGTGTGTTTACAACACGTTGTGTGTACAACACGCCGGCCATAATGTCCCTGCACCCACATAGCGCTTTGACAGCACTTCCTGCGGTTTATCGGTTTATCACACTCACATGCCCACTGGCTGCCTCCTTTACTGGAGTTACAACTGGGGCGGCGAGTGGGGAATCGTGTCTCATAATGGGTGCCCGTTAACATCGTATGAAACGGATCTTGCCGATCTCAACGAGACATTATGGGGAAATGTGGAATTGTGGAGAGAGATGACTCTACTCTGAAATTATAGTAAAGACCGCATTCATTTTGCCTTTTTCCTGCAATACCCGGCATTTCAGTTGATCCCACTAGATGGCGCACTCTAGACACAATTGACCTTTGCTGGAGTCTGGTCTATTCTCTCAGCTGGCCCCACTCCGTAACCCGGCAAGATCCAAGAACCAAATATTTCACGCTTACATTGGAGGGGGCGAGATTAAACTGAGCAATAACAGTTCATGGCGAGTACGGCGAATACAAGTTGTAACAAGCAGTAGCGCTGAGCAAAGTGACTAGAACGCGACCACACACTTATAAAGTCAGGCAACACTAACCAGGCTTAGTGTGATTCTGTTTACTTTAATAACCATCCGTTCACTGTTATTGACCATTG